GGCTTTATCTATGGAATTTCTTTTTGTTTTTTTGTCAGTGGAAAGTGTCATGATGCCATTTCTAACCTTAGGTCCCTGGACGGGACCCGGAAAGAAATGTGTAAACGCCAGAAATCAAAGAAAATAAAAATAATAATAATAATAATAATAATAATAATAATAAAATATCAGAAAAATAAAAGACTGGTTGTAGTTGGAGTCCTCGGATTGATTGGAAACGGTTTACATACACTCATTGAAGGGATTCCTGGTAGTCCATGTCTTAAAGAAATACAAAAGACAAATTTACTCATAAGTGCAGCTCATGCATTACAAGAGCTGTATCAACGTAAAATGCGTGTGAACTTAAGTTTCCTTTGTTTGTTTTTTTTTGGGGGGGGGTCTTTTTTTTGGCAAAACTAATCAGTGGAAGCCATTTCTGAGCTAAGGTCTCTGATTAGGACCAGGAAGGAAATATGTCATCAGATATTTACCATGCATGATACACGCTTAGGCGATCATGTATCTTTCGATACATGACTGACGAGGCAGAATTTTTTTCCCGCAGTAGGTTGCCATTTCTTTCTGTGGTAGACCAGTTGCCGTCCAAGGCTATATAATCCGGTCTGTCCTGCTATTTACCCATACCTGAGGGAAGAAGAAAAAGAGGATTCATACCTTTCCCAAGTCGTAAGTTAATGTAAGGGATTCGACTGTAATGGAACCAAGCCGGTATCCATTACTCCACCGTAACGCCTCACACAATGTAAATTAAAGGAAGAAATAATAGTAATAAAAATAAATTACTGTGTTTAACCCCGAACGGAAAAGATAATAATTTTTGGCGGTGAAATTAAACAAATAAAGAAAAACTTTGGGTTAAAAAAAAACTGTGTTTTAAAAAATGAATAATAAAACCTGTAATCTCCGCGATTCTGGAAATGAAACTGTGACCTCTGGAAATCTGAAAATGAAGCAATGAGAAATGACAAAATAGTAATGACTAGCCAGATTAAAGCAGAATTTATATTAGCAATATAACTGTTGCCTTTTGGGACAGAATCCCAGAAGGTTTCTTTCCCGAACACGATAATCTTAATCTCTTTACCCGTTGTCTTTCTCACATGTCCACATAAACTGCGCTGCTTGCTCTTAATGCTCACGCAACAGCTGCCTTCAGTAACTTTCTACCCTGATTGACTCTTGGGCCTTGTATACGGTGAACAATAGTAAAAAAAATGTTTAAAAAGATATATGTTAAAACATATCTTTCGCACTCAGAACTGGTTTCCACTCACCAAGTGGTTTGATTGTCTAAACATTTTACTTCATTTGCTTAATATTATGGTTCTGTTTCTTAATATTGAGCACTTTAAATACAAAGACAGCTTGCCTTAAAAGCGTTATCTTCCCAGAAATACACTGCTTAACCACACATTTTTATTTTTTGACAAAATAGAAACTATTGATTTAAGTAGCAGTAGTATCTGTATTATTATCTATATGTAAATGATTGTGTAAATGAATGACTGCACAAGGATTGGAAGGAAGAGATAGGGAAAGACAATCATTACTAGAAATTACAAATAATACGACGTTGTGGAGAGCCATGATCGCCAACTTTCGAAAGAGGGAAAAGGGAAAGCAACGCGTGACATCCATAGCGGGTTTAAGCAAGTGGATCACAGAAGAGGTTCTGAGAGAAATAGCAAAGGGACAAAATTATTGAGAGCTCCACGGGATAGGATCTTGTGGAGAGACATGATCGCCCACTTTCTGAAGAGACACGATATTTTCAACTATGTGCTCAGCCTGGATATTTTAAAAATTGCATACGCTTATTATAAAATTGATAAGTGACAGGCAAGTGTCTCATTAGGCCAGTTTGATTTGTTATTATAAATTTATTTTATATATATATATATATATATATATATATATATATATATATATATATATATATTTACAGCTTTTGTCAATTTTTGAACATTGAGTTTTAAAGATCACGTAAAAAAATGTACATAAAATCTTAATTCCCGCAGCATTTTGCTTGCAAACTGACTTTTCAAAGTTTTATCGTTTTAAAAATAAATTCAAATAAAGTTGATATCTTTTGCATTAAATAAATTGAATCTAAAATATATTCAAACCTGAATTCTAATTATGAATCACCACAAGCAAAATATGCAAATTTTTTTACTGTATTTGATAAGTAAAAACTGTGTAAAAATTGTTAAAGATGACGGAAACAGCTACGCAATGAATATTGTTAGAATATTTGTTAGATCCTATTTAATAAAAATAAAAATATATAAAAGTGTATATAACAACATAATAAATCTGGATAGAAATTATAAGACAAAATGTTTTTAATTTGCATTGTTTATTGAAAGTCACAGTAAAACTACTGCACTGTATAACACATTACATTATCGTCAGTTATATAGCATGCGTGATACACGCTTAGGCGATCATGTATCTTTCGATATATGACTGACGAAGCAATTTTTTCCCGCAATAGGTTGCCATTTCTTTCTGCCATCCAAGGTTGTAGAACTCCTGTTGTTTACCCATAGCTGGCGGGGGAGAAGAGGATTCATACCTTTCCCAAGGGTATTAGCACGTAAGTCAATGTAATCGATTTGACTGGAATTTGAACCCTGCTCTCCCATTCCACAATCCGAATCGCTATCTATTACTCCCCTTATATTACATTATAATATAACTAAATTGTTCAACATAATTTCCCTTTGAAGTAAATGAAGGTCTTATTTGATGGCACCACGATTTAGTAATAATGTGGCGGCCACAATCTTAACAATAAAGGATACGCTGATAATACAATGCTGATAGCAGGCACG